TTATAAATGGTCATATTTAACAGCTTCGGCAGAGAGAATGTTGACCTTATTACCTTGTCTTTGATAAAAACTAAGGTCCTTTCACGGAGATTGTCATCCGACATCTGCTCATCAATAGTCTCAATGTGTTTAAAAAGAGCTGTCAATGAAGCTACAGGGACAGAAAGAGTCAAATTGCCTTAATAACAGAGCAGCAATTCTATCAGAAAAAATTGTCCCAGTTATAGCATCAAGAAAAAATGACGGAAAATGGTAAGGTAAGGTAAAAATTCATTCTCTAGTCCTTCAAATGCTCTTTATTCCTATCAACCCAATGTACCCACATAACTACATCCCTTCAGACATCGTCTTCCTCTTTTTGAAAGCAAAAATGTGCACTACATTCAGCAGTGTCATACTAAAGTATAAATATTTGTCTGTAGCTGACATATCCACCTAGCAACACTTAAGCTCTTATTTAAGCTAATTATAAATTTGGACAAAGACATATTTCCTAGAAGGATTTAATCAATAAAATTCCTATCTCAGATAAGTGTAATATAAAGATGCATTTTAATATGGCATACCAATGGCTGCAAAAGCCTGGAACTAGTAGCTTAATCAAGATATATAAGTAGCTAGAACAATGGTAAACAGTAGTCCAGGTATTGACCAGAAGAGCATGCTTGTTAATGCCAAATGGTGCATCAAATGCAACATATAATAATGTGCACAGCAGCAATAAATTTGCTGATTTATTCCAATGTAGCCAATGAACACAAGGGATGAGTTGCTTGTCTTCTTTATATGGTTTTGGGCAATGTCACTTCTCACTTCATGAGCCAACTTTTGGGGTTGATTCGGCTCAAGGTTCAATTTCTTCACATATCCTTATTATTGGTTCAGGCAATGTTGCGCCCCCATGTTATCATCACCATGCTCCAAATATCAAAATCTGGGCTTGCAGGGGTGTAAAGTGTCCTACAGTGGTTGAGGGATAGGATGTTTGTCTCCTTGTACGATCTTAGCGATCCTCACCAGTCACCTCATAAGATAGCTTATAGGATTAAACTGGGCTCAAGGTTCATTTTCACACAACATATGCTCATGGTTATGGCATTTTACAGAGTAAGTTGAAGACAATACACCTTCCAAGGCACTATACAAGAAACACTGAAACAGTGGTATCAAACAAAACATCCATTGTTTTCGTAGACCAGGCTTTAATGTATCTTTATTCTACCTTTTTCTAAAAGAACGGTACCAGGAAATATGAAATAGCATCCAGCAGAAGAAAACAAGTGCAGTTTGATAAGTTCAGCAATTTAATTTCTTAACTCAATTTAAGTTGAATTTAGTTACAGAAAAAACCTATATGCATTGGTTTTTCAATGTAAGTGAAAGAATCTACATACCTTGTACGTCTTGCCTTAACAAGGACAAAAGGGCTTTGTTTACTGCATCACGTTCCACATTTTCCTCTGGAAAAATAGAAAGATAGAGAAGTCAGGATCACATATCTTTCCTCATAATCAACATATTTTGATGGAAAGACTAAGAGATTTCTATACCCGCAGTCAGGAGTTGAACAAGTATATCAACAATTTTTGAAAGATGCTCGGGTGTGTCTTTGCAAAAAAGAGGAAGTCCACGAATGGCTTGCACTCGAACCTGCAAGCAGTAATTGGTCAAACAAAGCTCAAAGGTCCCATCAAGAGACATCAACGTTACAAACTTCTAGTCTCATTTATGGAGTCTGGAGCCAAAAGGATAAAAAAAATTGCCAAAAGACCCAATAGGGCACATCATATTTTTTAAAACCAAAAAGGACAAATCGCTATTGCCGAAGCAATTTCCCATGGACACATTTAATGTGTCCGCCGTTTACTCCGTTAATATTAAAAATCGCTGCCCAAGCAGCGATTTTCTCCAAAAAGAACTTCTCTTTTTTTTCCCCAATAATATTGCTGCTTTGGCAGCTTTTTTATAAAATGAAATAAAATTGAAATGACTGCCTCCACAGCGTTTTACTTCAATTTTATTTTTTTTGTTAAATTCGCTGCCTTGGCAGCGTTTTGCCTGAATTTTTTTTTAACAAAAACTTTTTTCCTGATTAAATGCACATCAACAAGGCAGCTATTCAAACAAAAAATAATAATAAAAAAGCTGCCATTGAAGCTGTTTCAAAAAAAAAAATCTATGAAAACGTGGCAGCGATAATAGCAGAAAAAAAGAAAAAGAATTTTGGAGAAAATCGCTGATCGAGCAGCGATTTTTAATTTCAACGGAGTAAATGTCGTTCAAAAGTGACAAAGGGAAATCGCTTCGGTAGTAGCGATTTTGCCCTTTTGGTTTAAACAAAATATAATGTGCCCTTTTGGAATTTTTGGCAATTTTTTTTAACCCTTTTGGCTCCGGACTCCTCATTTATGCCATAAGTACTGTCCAGAGAAGTCCTTTCTTTTTTATCTGCTGTGAGAAACTTAAATCATGCAGTCGAAATGTTTATAGGAACTCCATTACAAATAAGATAATTTTTTTTTGATGACAAAGGAAACCGACAGCTGCTACACTTTGAGGTGCCCACAGGGTAAACTCCCCGCTCCTATCGATTGCTCGCAAACCACATAGGAGGTAACCCGCACTAGGCAAGCCCGGTGCAACGAGCTCGACCCAGAAGGCAAACCCCTTGCTTTCGCTGGCAAGGGGTTTCGATCTTGAGACCTCCAACATGGAAGTCCCAAGCCCTAACCACTGGGCCACCCCGAAGGGTCTACAAATAAGATATTTAAACATGTTAAAAAACAGTAAAGCAAGACAGAAAGAAAACCCGAATAGAAACTGAAGAAAATTGAGACCTAGAAAGAAAATAATAATTACAAATGAAACTGAAGTCTTGTATGTAATCAAGAAACAGAGAAATTCCCGAATGTAAAATAGGTTACAGATAGAATAAGGTCAATCTCATCACAACCTTTTCGTCATTACCTACCTATTTCTAACCTAAAAATGAAATTGATTAAGATCAAGAAATACAGGGTTTCTTTTTATTTTATTACGGTGGTTTTCAGGCTTAGCTTACGCTTACCTCAATTATGTACCTGGTGACAAGAGTACTGGTATTTCCTCGCTCTTTATGTTTGTATTGAACTTCTACGGGCTAAATTTTCTTATGTACCTTGTCTTTCCACTTAAGCACAAAAATTAAGACAACAGGGATAGAACACAACAATAAACTTGCAGTATAATATACACGTAGGATGGCTTTGAAAAAGCAATTATCACAATGTCATGATTTTATTTTTTTCCCTACTACTTTTCATATTCTCGAGCCGGCAAACAACTATCTTCATTTCTAAAGTTCAATCATGAATTGATACTCCCAAATCCCAACATACAGCAAAAATATTCAGTTCCCAAGTCATGTGATTCATTAACTTCAATTTTATGAAGCAATTGAATACACAAATCGCTGCTTGTCAACAAAAAATAAGAAATAGAATGCTTACTGAAATGTTCCAAAATAAAACCGAAAGAAATTTACAAATAATCATAAGAAAAAGAAACAAGCTGATAAATATGAAATGAGATAGAAAATATTAGTATGAGACCAGGATGACAGACACAAACGGAGAAAGGTCCAAATTGATATTAAAAGGAAATTTTTTTAAAAAGGTAAATACAAAAGACTGACCCCAAGCTCCTCAGCTTCACAGAAATCCAGCTGAGCATCTACAGCACGGACTGATAAACTAGGAAAATACTTGAAGAATCTGGGGATTAGCTGAGCTGCTAGTTGCATAGCTTTAACACTGCTGCTCTTCGCTGCCTTAATTATATTCTCATAGTCCTCCACATTCTACACCAAATAATTGCACAGTCCAATCAAAATTAGCTGAAATTATTCTTAAAAAATATATATAAAAACTTGATTTTATCCACTGCAATTCAACAAACTTAGCTTAAACTACTCGAAAAAACATAAATTTGGTTGAATAAGCCACATGCTTCTCTTCACAGCCTTAACTTATTCTCATAGTCCTCTCCACATTATACACCAAATAATTACACAGTCCAATCAAACTTATCTGAAACTATTCAATATATATATAAACTTGAAAGAATACACCACAGTTCAATCAAATTTAGCTGAAAATACTCGAAAAAATATACAAACTTGACTCAGCACACCACATGATGTTCTTCACTACGTCAATTACATCTCACAATCATCCACATTATACACCAAATAATGCCACAGATCAATCAAAATTAGCTGAAACTATCCAAAAATAATAAAGAAATTTGACTCGATACACCATAGTTCAATCAAACTAAAACTGTTCGAACAAAATATTTTTAAAAAAAAATTAAATCAGTTCACCACAGTTCAATCAAACTAAAGTTGACTGACTGAATACACCACATTTCACTCAAACTTAGCTGAAACTTGCCCAAAAAAGAAACAAATTTCATTCATTACACCGCTGTTCAATCAAACTAAACTGAAACTACTACACATAAATTTGACTGAATAAACCACAATTCAATAAAAATTATTCAATTCCGAAAAAACAAATACAGATTCGATTCAAATTCGAACCCTAGAACGGGAAACTGAAAAGGTAAATTGAGTTTTTACGTACCTGAGACTTGTCCTTCGACTCGTTGAGGCGTTCGCCGTACTCGTAAAGCTTCTCGATAATGGCTTCGTCCGATGACTCCGCCATTGCTAAGCTTGTAAGTTTAAGCAGTAGAGACAGTAGAAGTGAAGGGAAATTAGACTTGGGCTGACAAACGGGTTTCAGATTAGTGAGAAAAGAAACGGATATATATACACACGAGAAAAAACAAAGGGCCAAAAAAGGAACCATTATTTATTTTTATTAAGATTAAAACGTGTGAATATTATGTATAATGTATGCATGTTTTAGATATTGAATAAATATATATCTAAATAGTAATACATTGTATTAAGATTTAAATATTAAATAATTAAGACTGAGGATGATGTTGGATAATGGTTGTTGTTGTTCGTTTATAGTTGAATGATAATGATGGCTAATAGGGGCGATGAATGACAGTGATGGTTGACTGTGTATAATTGTTAATGATGATGATGGTGATTGGTGATCGGTGGTGATGATTGTAAGTAGTGGCTAGTGATGGTGACGATTAATGATAGTGATTGACAGTAATAGTAGTCGTGGTTGAAGATGACTGAACGGTGAACAGAGAGCCAGAGACAAACACAAGATTTAAAAATAAGGTAGCTCCTTGTCTAGGCTCGCACTCATATTGGTGATAGTTAATGATGATGGACGGTGAGCAGAGACAACCACAAAATTTAAAGATAAAGTAGCTCCTTGTCTAGGCTCGAACTCACAATGATGCGAGATGTACCATCATAGCTTCAAACCAGTAGTGTACCCAAATGAGTTCTAATTTATAAGAATGCAGAATTAAATATATCTATCCTTTCTCAGATTATCTATACATATATAACAAAAATAAAATAAAATTACCAAATGCATATATACCTCACGCCACAAGGTAGGGTTGTCTCTAGGGACGAGACACTAGTTGATAATGATGAGGAATAGTAGTAGAGATCTTTGAATAATGTAATTGTTGCTATATTATATTTAACGGTTATTATATAATATGAATATTTATGATCAACACTTTATATATCATTGTTAAAGGTTTTAGCAATTTTAGATGCAATAATATTGACTCAATTGACGCTAAATATTTTTGCAACGATAAATATTATCACTAAAAATATATATATTGCCATTGAATGTCTCATTTGCTTGTTATCAAATCACTTAAAAAAAAATTACACAAATGCACAATTTAAAATAACATAATTTCTAAAATTCCTGTCATTTAAAAAAATAACAAAAATTCTCTCTCGGATACATTGCTATACCCTCTTGGATACATCCCTATATCTTCTCGAATACATCTCTCACATTAAGTAATGTATCATTTGCAAAGCATCGAACAACCAAGAAATGTATTCAAAAGTAATAAAAAAATTTGAGATTATTGTAATTAGCGAAACTTCTGGAAATGTAATTAGCCCCAGATATAGAAGATTTCTGTAGTTGTCCCTAAAAGCTACGGATAAACTTTTTTAAATGTAAAACTTCTTTATTAAGCTTAAAAATAAAATAGATTATGCACTGCGATAACTAAAAATAACCTCGTAATATAAAAGTTTCCTTATACTGATATATTGCATATAAGTTAAACTATTTGGTGATGGAATCAATAGTTGGCTGAAATGTTTGAGAAATAAGATAATATGTCTTCTCAGTTGGATGAATTGAATCCCAAAAAACATACTTTGATGCATTTTTGCATACATATGAACTTGGGTTGCACAAAAATGCACCTTCCAATAAGCCAGTTCCACAGCAGCCATAGTTAGCCTTTTCAAAATCTATCATTAAAAAAAAAACATATCATATAGAGCCGAGGATCTATCGAAAACGGTCTTTCAAGATTTAAAGATAGGTCGAATAAAATTTGTGTATAGTCTGTCATTTCAGACCTCACATATGAGATTATACTGAATATGTTGTTATTATAATTTATAATATTTATATTGTAATGAACAAAGCGTTTACATCAAATTATATTAACGTACTACAAATTAATGATAAAACTAAAACAAGATTGTGAATTAATTAATAATGTTTTAGTGATTATAATGCATGAATGAACACACACACATGTTGGTTCTTATGTATTCATTATTAGATTTGTGGAAATAAGTTTATAAGTTACCATATCAAAATTAGAATTACTCCTCAAATACACTGGTAAATTAAGTTATTATCGTTTGATCAGAAAAGTCACGAATTCATAAGAGGTAAGGGAAAGATTATCGATATAAAGTTAGTCTATGAACCGACTCTTCTACGTATTCCGCACATAAGAATTAGTATAGACTCACCATATTTGTGGCCTACAATCATGTCCATCAATGGTCCATATATATCTAAATAAGCAAATCTTGAACCCAAATTTGCAAACTTGATGTCATTTAACTTGTTTTGGAGCTTGGAATTGTAGTCTCTAGCAATGGAAGAGTAGAAATCAATGCAATCTCTCTTTGAAAATGCATTATCAGAGTGAATGGTGATGACAATTGGTAAACAACCCATTGGTGGTAGACCTACCATGCCAATTTTCCTAGCCCCTTGATCCAACAATTTCTACACAAAATTAAGCCAAAAAGAAAAAAGAAAAACCATTGACATTAATTTAAATCATGCTATAACATAAAAGACTTTTGAAATTTATTATCTGAAATAAGGCTTGTTTTGTGTGGCTGTATTAAAATGAGATATTCTTTGTCGTTAATTATTTTTTAATATAAAAAATGTGATATTCTTTTTCAGACATGCTTAAAAAAATGTGTCATATATAAATTAGGATAAATCGAGTAATGAATTGTGTAACACAATAAACTAAGGTCATGTATTTATTTTAAATAGAGGTAGTTTAAAACAATCACAAGTATAGTTAGAGAACTTTTTATGTCAAGTTTGATATGATAACCTGAAAGACTAACATAAGAACTTACTATCGACAGTTAAATTACCCCCCCCCCCCACCTTATAAAATATTTTAAAATTATATATTGTCAGTGTATATAACTTAATTTTTTTCGATATTAATCTAGAGGAAAATTCTTGAAGATGGGTAACCAACCTGGAGGAAGAGTTGAAGATGTTGTAACAAGAAGTCAGTGTAGTTTGAGAGTTTGTAGGTTTTACTACGAATTGGAAGTGTGTTGTAATTGACAACAAAGTCATTTGTGCCTGCACTAATAATGAACAATGATTCTTTTATCAAATTTTGTGTTTGCTCTTTTCCAATAGCTGCCTCCATTTTCTCTTGATACTCCTTGAAATATTCTATTTGCTTTGACAATGAGATCACATTCTGTATTTATTTCCAAAAAAAAATATATATATATATAATCCAGAGAAATACTATGTAATGTAAGGGTTGTGGGGTGGGCGGGGCAATGGGATTTGTTGTTGTGTTAGTGAGTGAGAATGACATAATCAATATGCAATGTCAGTTGTGGAATTTGTTTTTCTAAATTCTACTAGGTAAGTCATTTTCTTCATTTTTCATATTTTTTTTAGAGACGATGTTTTTCAGAAAATTTAATCAACTGAACATGAAAAAATATGTTTCCTCCGTATATACGGTGAGGGTTCGAATCCTACTATATTTTCGTCCCATAAAGAGAAATGATGAAAGAGTAGGGGATTAATGAGAATTAGATGAGTATTAGATGGAGTAGTAATTTCTTTCATTCTTAACCAAGAGGTCTTGTCTACGGAGTCGTCTTTGTTAAGGAGCATTTTACTGTTTGCATTTTTGTTAATGCTGATATGGTCCATATTATATGAGTCCATTATCCCACATCATGGACCCATTATCCCACTAATGGAAAGGTGGTTAATTAACCCATTATCTCACTAACGGGATAATGGTTTCGGGTTCGAGTCCCCTTGGGTATGAAGTCACCTTCATTGGGAAGCGTTTTACCCCCAACCCGGGACTTTTCGGCGTAAATCCGGATTAAGTGAGACTCCAATGTGGTGGGAAACCCAAGAGGTCCCGGATTCGAGTCCCCTTGATATGGAGTCGTCTTTGGGAGCGGTTTAACCCCAATGTAGAACTTTCTTACGCGAATCTGAATTTAGTCAGATTTCAATGAGGATACCAAACACCAGGTGAGAGAAAAAAAAAACAGATGAGTATTAGATATAATACACTGATTTTTGGTGTAAGGGGATCAAATCCAGTTCCAGCAGATGCAAAACTAACTCCAGTCTTGAGATCTTCAATACTCAAACTTTGATCCAAATATGGAGGCACATATTCTTTAACACCAACATACCTAGCTGCATTAATCAAACACAAATTTCAAGCACAATGAAGTTGCATGTGTGTATATATAGAGAGAGAGAGGCGAATCTAAGACGAGTTTTATACTTAGGTTCTACATTGAACTTCCGATTTAATTTAGTGACAGAATCAAGATTTACATTAAGATGTAATACAGAGTGTCATCTGATTAGATCACACTCTTTCTGAATCCACTGACTCTAGATTCTGTATTTAAAATGTAAATATATTTTGCATTGGTTAGTGTCTAAAAATTACAACAACAATATATCTAATGTAATTTCACAAGTAAAGTTCGATAGAAATTATTTTCGATGTTCGAAAAGAAAAAGAAAAAGAAGAATTAATTACCAATGAAATCATTAGCAAGCATTCCATTAGTAAACCTTCCAGTTGGAACATGGTTTAGAAAATCTTTTCCATAAGGTGAGAAATTACTCTTGAAAGGAGTTGATATATAATTATTATTTCCAGGATCAGCTGTTGAATCTCCAAAAATAAAAATGGCAGAAACTAAATTATTATTATTCTTAGATAGAGCTTTAATTAATATTGGAGCTTCCAACATGAAGAAAATTAACAAAAGAATAATAAAAAAATTTAAAAGACTCATATTAATAATTAATGATTTGATCAAGAAAATTTTGGAAAAGTTTAAAGCTTCAATCTTATGCCTTTTGATGACTTTATTAAAAACAAGGAGTTATATATATATAGCATGACTAGTTAATTAAGAATTAAATGGATTTAATTATTTGTTTAATTATAAAAATAAATTTAGAGGTAACTAGTGCTCTTTGCAAACGTTTCTAGAGTCCATATCGACGTTAACAATGACAGTTAATTAAAATTGATAATTTTAATATTTTTTATATATGCATATATTTATTATCGTTGAAAGCTATTTTTATTGTCATGATCGATGTTGCTTTTGTTCTTGTAATTGTTTGATGGACCAAACACTTCAAATGTAATTTAAAGTTTTCTTAACCACCATCTCTAATTAATTAATTTCTTTGAGTTTGGTATAAGTGGCAATACAATTAAAATTAACTTGTATCATAATTTATACTCTTTTTGATCACCAAACGCCTATTTATGAATGTGCATGGTTCATAAATAGGAAAAAATAAAATAAGTGTAACCTTATAATATGCTTTCTAATTTTTGTATAGGAGTTTTTAGTCAACTTTCTATGAACCTTAATTTGACACATATACATTCATACACCCACACCATCATATTTATCAAACTAAGTGTAATAATTCAATCTCACCAAATATATAATTATTGTTATACGTGTAATAATTCAATCGTCTCTCATTTTAAATTTTCATATTTCAAAATGAGTTAATCTAACTGTTGCAGATATTTATTCGTATTTGTGCGATTGCGTGAGGAAAATGTGCATGGTGATCGCGTTATAGCTGTGAGACACATGAAAATCATCGTGATTATGCTAACTTGAGAACTTTTCATGTATTATAGTAAAGTTGTCCTTTCATGTCATCATGTGTATATTTGAAGTTTCATATAACACATGATCGATAACTGACTTGATTTCATAGATGATCAATTTGATTTTTATTGTATCGCACTAAAATTATTAAATATACAAAGTATTATTATTATTACTAGTTCTTGATGATGGAATCAATAGTTGGAAAAAGTGTTTTAGAAATAATATCATATGCCTTCTCAGTTGGATGGACTGAATCCCACCAATAATACTTTGATGAATTTGGGCAAATATTTGACATGGGATTACATGCAAGTCCAAATTCCAATAAGCCAGTTCCACAGCAGCCAATGTTCACAAATTCAAAATCTATAAAGAAAAAAAAACAAAAGGAATAAAAATTTATATTAGTTTTAATAAATTAAATAAGAAAAAACTATATAATTAGACATACTTCACTGTCATATATACTATTATTACTTGTACTTCTAAAATATAAAACTTACATAAAACTATTTGAAAATACAGGGTATGAAAAATACTCTAATTTTGGCCAAAATTATTGTTACAATACTAAATGTTCCCCCTTGCACTATTTAATAGTATATTTTAAAGTTTATAATTCTGCAATATTTTTTATATCTTTGTGGGCACATACATACCTTTAGAATACACTATTAAATAGTGCAGAGGGGTAAAAGGTTCTTTCCAAAGTATAGTATTGTTAGAACAATTTCGATTAAATTTCAAATATATTTCAGACATTATTTTCCTAAAATATAGAGTATGAATCACAATTACTCACCATATAACTTCTTGTCTTGAATTATGTCCATAGTAGATTTATAAGCTTCTAAATAAGCAATTCTAGAACCCAAATTTGCAAAGCTATTTTGCATGTCATTTAATTTGTTTTGGAGCTTGGAATTGTAGTCTCTAGCAATGGAATTAAAGGAATCAATGCAATTTCTCTTTGAAAATACATCATTTGAGTTAAGTGTAATGACAATTGGTAAACAACCTAATGGTGGTAGACCAGCCATTGCAATTTTCCTAGCTCCTTCATCTAATAATTCCTGCATAATTAAAATTAAGTTGAAAAATAATTAATTAAAGTTATTAGTAGTTGAATTGGTCCGACTAAAAAAGACATTTCGATATTATTACCTGGATCGAGCTAGACTACCTTATAACTATTTATTTTACCACATTGCTTACTTTAATATATAGTTCATTTTCACCATCATTAATCGAAGATTAATAAGTCTTACAAAGTGGTGGAATTAATCAAAAATTTCCATAGGTAAATTTTTTACTAGATTTGTAATATACGAACCTTTGAACATATGTCAACTTCGATTTTGGATCTAATTCACACATTAAAAACTAGGTTTAAAGGTAGAAAGATTGTTTATCTGGATTTTCGCTGTTTAGTCCAGTACGTGCACATTCATGAATCGAGGTATTTTCACACCTCGGCAACTGTCTGATTTCCTAGCTTGACTATAGTATGTTAGATTCGACCTCAATCATCTTAACTCAACTCACACAAAAAAACAAACTCAAAAAGAAAAAAATTAAGAATTATCCAGATCATATAAAAGAGTTGTGGGATATCGTCGTGATCCAACGAGAGATCATTCCATTCATTATCATCGCTTTTCTATTGAAACTCAAGTCATAAAAAATTGTATGAGTACTTACAATAGCCAATTAAATTGAATATATGCTATAAAAAAGAAAATTATATTATCAGCGTATATAACTTAACTTTTAAATGAGTAGACAAACCTTTAGGAAGTTGTGGGCATGTTGTAACAAGAAGTCAATGTAGGCTGAGACTGTGTAGTTTTCACTAGGAAATGGATATAACTTGTAATTTGCAATAATATCATTTGAACCTATACTTATAATGAACAATGATTCTTTTATCAATTTTTTTGTTTGCTCTTTCCCAATAGCTGCCTCTATTTTCTCTTGATACTCCTTGAAGTATTCCACTTGCTTTGATAATGGTATCACATTCTAAAAATTCCACAAAAAGGGGTGGGGGTGGGGGTGGGGGGTTGGTTAATCATTGTTGAGAATAAAAATTGAATCAACTTATAATATAAAACAAGTCTAGCTCTATTTTGTTCCTATGACTATGAGTCTATGACAACATTATGATTAATACGAATTCAGAATTTTAAATTTATTGAATTATAGAATTAAAAGGCGCTTGTCCACTAAGCTATTACGTGTTTTTATAAAGGGAAAATTAAGTAAATACCTCATAAAACAAAATAGTTACAAACATATACTCCTTTATATTCATACACTACTAAATAATAACACTATACACACACACCCCTCCAAACTAATTTCGCTTAACTAATACTTAATAAGTATTATATCATTAATTAGGCAGATAATTTAGCTTAATTGATACTATTGATATCAGTAAGATTTTTTGTTCAAAAATTACTCATTAGTCATTAATACTATATGAATATTGGTATATTGTTGTGGTATCGTAAAAAGAGAAGGGAATGGTGTACTTAAAATGTATTATTGGATACTCGTAATTCAAAAAACGAAGATAATATTACACCATATTAAAAATATTTTTTTTTCTTGGGGGGGGGGGGGGGGGGTTTGAGATAGCATACAGAGTGTTGTGCTGTGAGGGGGTCAATTCCAGTTCCAGCAGATGCAAAACTAACTCCAGTCTTGAGTTCTTCAATACTTAAACTTTGATCTAAATATGGAGGCACATATTCTTTGATACCAAAATGCTTAGCTGCATTAAAATAACCAAATAAATATTAGGTCTTAATTAACCCATAGTTTAAGAATTAAAATAAAGGGATAATGCCCAAGTACCCCTCAACCTATGCCGAAATCTCAGAGACACATTTAAACTATACTAAGGTCTTATTACCCCCTGAACTTATTTTATTAATAATTTTTTACCCCTTTTTATCTTACGTGGCACTATTTTGTGGGTCCAACGATGGTTGACTTTTTTTTCAAACTAGTGCCACGTAGGCTAAAAAAGGATAGAAAATTACTTATAAAATAAGTTCAGGAGGGTAATAGGACCTTAGTATAGTATAAGTGTGTCTCTGAGATTTCGGGCATAGGTTGAGGGGGTACTTGGGTATTTTCCCTAAAATAAACTCAATGTTAAGAATCTTAAAGTTGAACACAAGTTATTATGATGATATGATTAATTATATATTGAAATTAGTTATGCTAAGATTATCTGCTCCTACTATTATTTCTTATTGATCGTTTAGTTCAATTTGTTATATAAAAATTATAATATACATCACATACAATCTAAGAAGAAGTGGTTTATTTATACAAATATTCTATATCGTCTAATCTATGCGATCATCTCGTCTAGAAAGTTCAGTTATTAAATAAAACACACTATTTCTTAATTATATCGTTAATAATATGTTTCAAACCTATTTTTACATATGCATGCATATACATTGCTCGAACTAAAATTAATGAATTCAGTCGAACCTAGCTACAAAATCCACCCCTAGACCCTACTTTTGCAACCTTTTTATGTGTCATTTCAAACTTAACTAACTAATCAAAGTAACTAATAAAAGTATTTTGTAGAATAATTACCAATGAAATCATAAGCAAGCTTCCCATTAGTAAACCTTCCTGTTGAAACATGATTAGGAAATTCTCTTCCATAGGGTTTGAAATTACTCTTAATAGTAGTTAATATGTGATTATTGTTTCCAGGATCAGCTGTTGAGTCTCCAAAAACAAGAATTGTAGAAACTAAACTATTATGTTTTTGAGCATGAGCTTTCAATATTAACACAAGAAGATGTAAAAGAAAAATATAAGAATATGAAAAATGCATTTTGATTAGATATGGATAATGAATTTGTAGACATCATAAGGTGTTATATAGACAAGGAAGAGTCTGAAAAATACTTTAATTTTGGTCGGTATTGCAGTTACGATACCAAACTTTATAAAAGACCTTTTACCGCTGCACTTTTAAAAAGTGTATTTTAAAGGTATATATGTGTCCACGTGACACATTACTATTTAAAAAGATGCAATATTTTTTATGTCCACGTGAGCACAATACGCTATTAAATAGTGCAAGGGGGTAAAAAGGTCTTCCATAAAATTTAGTATCGTAACACAATTTCGATCAAAGTTCAGATATATTTCAAACTTTTTTCCTCATATATATATAGGTAAAGAGGCATGCAGATCAAGACATAATAGTTATTTTGTAGCTATACGAACGAGACAGCTTAAATTATAGCTATAATTCGTAAATATATAATTATAACTATAAAGCATAATTAAATTTATTATAGTGATTATTTACGAAAATCATGTCGTTAATAATAACAACTTCCTATGAAAGAAAGTGCATGCAGGCAAGAAATTTAAGAATTTAGTGAAGTGCAAATCAATGTCACTAAAGGGCCAATGTACATTGGTACATATATAGAACTACCTTAGCAAAGTAGAAAGTTTATGCTTTTACTTTATTTATTTCTTGTTTTCTTGAGATAAAAGAAATCTAATTTTGTACTTTATTTTTTAAAAATCGAATCAAAATTGATGAGTGTATATTAGTTTGATACTTTGATTTATAAATTATTAAATTGTTTTAATTTCATGTATAAGTTGTTGAATCATCTTTACACGATTATTACTTCCTTCATTTCATATTGATTAGTTGATCATTATATAATTAGTCGTCCTATAATAGTTCCCCATCATATTAATCAAAAAACATTAATTAATTTTTTTTATATTACTCTTGTAATTAATTCTTTTTTTAAGTGTTGAAATTTGTTTATAAAATTCTCAATTTTTTTTTGAAAAAGCGAGTTAGTAAAATTATCGTTTTATTTATAATTTCTTAAGCACCGTCAAAATTAACAAATTAAAAGAGAAGTTCTTTTAAAAAATAAGTTGATAAAATGATCTTCTTATTTATGATTTCTTAAACATCATACGAAAATAAAAAATTAATAGACAAAGAGAGTACTCCCTCCGTTTCATGAAGGATGACCTAATTTGACTTGGAACGGAGTTTAAGAAAAGAAAGAAGACTTTACCAAAATGCCCTTTAATCTTTTTTCTTAAACATGCCACGTGGAAAGTTAAAGTTAAAAGTGTTGTCAAAAAAGGAAAGGGGTCATTCTTTTTTAAACAGATTAAAAAGAAAATAGAATCATTCTTTTTGAAACAGATGAAGTACCTTTAACATAAATCCCTTAATTTAAATTTCTGACTTCACCACCACCAAATACATTCACCATAATATATCATCAAAATCTAAAAAAAAAAGAATCAATCGATCGATATTTTTTTCTTTATCTGAATTCTAATTCTTGATTCACCCGATGTTTACAATTGGTTGATGGCAAAATCAATAGAAGGACGTATTGCTTTGAAAACATTGTAATAAGTAGCTTCACTTGGGTGGACTGCATCCCAAAACATATGATTTGAAGGATTATTGCATACAATTGATTTTGGATTGCAAAGAATTGATGCTTCAATAAGTCCACTTCCACAACATCCCATGGTAACTTCACTAAATCCTACAAAATATTAAGTAATTTTTACGCCATTAAATCAAATTATAAAATATTGTTTACAATAAGTAGAATTAATAATTAAAAAAATTAAAGTCGATAATTTACTATAACAAGCTAATTTCTTTGTATTTTAAAAATTTAGTTGATATGAAGGAAATATTTTTCCTGAAAATTTTTCGATTTTCTTACCTTCATTTGGTAAAACGTTGACTTAGTATATACAGAAAAAATTATTTCAAAAATATTTTTATATAAAAAGCGAGCTAGGGGTGAAGGAGGATGAGGGGGTAGGAGTGAGTTGGGAGTGGAGGCGGGGGTGGAGGCATTTGGAAAATGGGGGGGGGGGGGTTTGACGAGACAATTAGTTTGAAATGCTACTTACGATACTTATTTTATATATTTTTGTTAGAAAAATTATATTTCTAATTTAAAAAATCTAAGTTTTAGAAAATTTTGACCAATAAAAATTGAAAAATAACATTATCCAAAAGTGGAAAATTAATTATTTTGGGTTGCTCACCATATTTAATTGGATTTTGTATCATGTCATTTATTGGACTATAGATATCGACGTAGAATAATTTTGTGCCATCAATTTCCATAGTCTTTAATAAGCGTTGAAGTAGCGAGTTGTACTCTCTTGCAACGGCGGAGTACGATTCGATACATCGACGAGGTTGAAGTGCGTCACCGGAATCTATCGTGATGACTATCGGCAAGCACCCGAAAGGCGGAACTCCGGCGACGCCGATTACTCGAGCTCCTTCGTTCATCAAACCCTAGAACAATCAACACAAAGTTTTTGTATACAAAATATTAGTATCAAACACATTAAATTGATACATATACCATTTGGATAAATATTCAGACAGGAAATTTTAGTTGCTCAGTTAATTGATTACATGAAGAATCGATTTTCTATCACGTAATCCCCTCCCTATTTTCCTCTTTCCTTACCTCCTACGAAAAAAATTTGATTTTACAAATTCAAGCAGCTAACTGAACCATGTACGTTGTCCAATTATCAATCAAATAAATTGAAATTAATAAGGTCTTATATTTAAATTTTAGTGAAGTACAAAATCATCATGTACTTGATCGTTAAAGAAAAGAAGATATTCTATAAAATTAATTGAGATGCAGTTACCGAAAAACAATATAATATTTGTAAAAAAAGGAATTAAAAACTTGTAAAAATTTGGTTGTCTCCAATTAATTGTAGTAATTACATAACAACACCTAACTCAACCCTTCCCCACTTCATAAATCATCATAAATGTTTTTGCTTCCAAATTATTATTATTATAATAATATGTTTATATCATTTCAAAAAGGCCTATTAAATCACTTCACCTCTATGTATCCTACTCATGCCACTAATATTTTTTTCTTTTTTTAAAAAAAAAACCCAAAGTATAAAGATAAAAATATATGCATACAATCAGATTTTTTTTCACATTTATAAGAACCACATGGCTATAATTTGTCAATAAAAATATTAGTCCTATATATCTTTCCACATTTATAAGAATCACATGGCTATAATTTATCACAACATCCAGTCTCATTTTATATGTTACATTTTGAATTTAAGAGTCAAACAAATCTATCTTTGAGCTTAATTTTTTTTAAATACTTTGAATTATAAATTATTATGACTTATAGTACTTTTTACGTAGTTCATAAATATATAAATTTTCATTTTAAAAAAATTAAAAAATTTCATGCGTAAATTTTCTATCAAACTTAAATTGTTTGAGTCTCAAAACAGAAAAAGTGTCATTTAAATTGAGACCGAGAAAGAGTATATGATATATACTTACTTGGATAAATTGTTGGACCATTTGCATCAAGAATTGTTGATATTGAGAGACATTATAATATTTTTGTCTTCTAAATGGGGTGTTATAATAATTTACAGCAAAATCATTTGTTCCTGCACTTATTATAAATGCTGCTTTGCTTATTAATATTTTTGTCTTTTCTTTTCCAATTGAGTTTTCAAGTTTTCTTTTGTATTCTTTAAAATATTCCAGCTGTTTTTCCATCGTAATTACATCCTGCAATAATAATAATAATAATAATAATAATAATAATAATCAATATCAAATCACAATCTTGTCAATAATCAATTGATTAAAAAAAAGGGTATAATCACTATAGATCGAACCTACGCAATTTTTACAGTATAATGATTGATTATTCACGTCTTACTGTCTAGTTATACCTATCATTTCTCTTTTTGGTATAATATAAGTAGTTTATTTTACGATAACATTCGAATCGTTAATATTTTTGTAAAAAAATTAAACGTCTACCCTTATACAAAAATAAAGTTGGAACATGGTATGAAACCCTAAGTCTCTATCTAATTATATCATTACTAGAAAAGGAAAGCTTTCTAAAAAATAAATGGTATTTTTTTTTATATATTTTAAGTTTTATAAGTAAATATAAAACATATTATCTTAAGCATTTCGATAAATACTATAAAAATGAATATTATCGAGATTAGCGTCGAGAGTGGAGATGAAGTATGTGTTAGTATAAGAGACTATCGATGTATAATATTATTTATGAAATTTATTTTTTTCTACTTTTATGATGAATATAGAGAAATCATTTTTTTTATTAACTTATATATTTTTATATTTTTTAAATTAAAGGTTAATGCAGATAGTACAAGTTTTAGTTGTTGGGAGTAATTTACTTATAAAGAAAAAAATTCAATGCAACTATGATTCAAGTGTCAGATTATAACAGAGTATTTGTTCTTTTTCTTTATAAAGAATAAATTTTGCAAGATTTCAACAATTTTAAATTAATTAATGCACCTAATAAATTACTATAAAGTTGATTATTTGTAATTTTTTGAATTTTTAATTACCATTATGTTACAACTACACTAGTCAACAATGATTTATTTAAGGGAAGTCAATTAATATCCTTCCATCGAAATCTCAGATCGCGCAATAATAAATATTTTAATTATATCGCTAGTTTTATTATACGAAATAAATAAATAAGAGAGACGTACGACTAATTGAGCTGTGAGAGGGTCAAAGCCAGAGCTACCCGAGGCAAAACTAACTCCGGTCATGAGTTCGTCCAAGCTAAGACTCGGGTCTAAATAAGGTGGCACGAAATCTTTGATTCCCACATACCAAGCTGTTACAAAAATTTATAATATTATTTAAATTATATACATTGACAGTTTCACTTTTTTTTTAAAAAAAATACCATAACAATTAGATAAAATATAAAAAAAAAAACTCTAAAATCTATGTATATATATTGGTGATTATATAGAAATTCTTTTTAAGTAACACTCAAACAAAAATCCTCTTTTTTCAAAATAATTTAACTTTAAACTTTTAATTATATCTTAATGACACGATTTATCATCACAAAAAATCAAAATAACTATATTCTATTAATTTTCTTGACCACATATTTTTTATATAAAGTATTTCTTTTTCTTTGTTAAATTTCATGTTCGACCAAAATATGTAAAATGAAAATGTAGCTCATAATACATCTTAAATGATATGATAGAGCAAAATTTACATTTTAATGTAAAACTAGATCACCCTGTAACAGTATTTCATTATAATGATTACGTTTTCAATAAAAGTACTATTTCCCCTATCTATGTACATGAGTAATGCTACGTACACGATGCAATCATAAATATTTTTGACTATATGTACGTACGTACCTAAGTAAGCAAGATCTCCTTGTAACAGTATTTCATTATAATGATCACGTATTCAATGAAAGTACTATTTCCCCTATCTATGTACATGAATAATGCTATACGTACACGATGCAATCATAAATATTTTTTACTATATATGTACGTACGTACCTAAGTAATCTGTAACGAGACGACCATTAGTGAACCTCCCGGTGGGAACGTGGTTCGAGAAATCGCGACCGTAGGGCGGAAAATCGCACTTTGCGATGGTGTTTATGTAGTTGTTGTTGCCGGAATCAACCGTGGAATCTCCGAACACAAAAACAGCTGAAACTGTATTGTTAAATGGCCTTGGCAATTTTTTATAATTATTATTATTATTATTATTATTTAATAATAATGTTCGACCTTGAGTTTTATTTTGGAAAATAATAATGAGAAGAATGGGCAAAAAGAGAATAATTTTACAAGGAAAAATCATTGTTGAAGAATAATAATTGGGAGAGAAAAAAAAATTGTTGAAAAAATTAGAATGAGTTTTTTGGTCTATTATAATGTGTTGTATATATAATGGCAAAAAAAAATAAAAAATTGTTGTGTGTAGGTACTATTAATAATAGCAGTGGACCTCTATAAAAATTTAAAATATATAGTACTTTTTTAGATCCTTTCTCTTTTCGGATTATTTTAAAGATCTTTCGTACGATATTTAATTTTGAAATTAATTTTGTACGTATAACCAGTAACGAAAAAGATATAAGGAAATGGTGATAGACTGATAGACAATATGAGTTAGCCACGGAACTTTGATTGTAAAATCTATTTTTTCGTAAAAAGTAAGAAATTTCGCATACTTTAACCAATTTAATTAAACATAATTTCAATCGAGTCGTTTTCACTTGTTACCTTAATTTAAAATGACGTTTATTTGTTTCCTTCAAATATGTAATTTTTCATTTCGATCACATATTTTAAAATTCTTTTTTTATTTCCTACTGATTAAATATAGGTCCACTTCAATTATTAATAATAAATACAACAAAATATATTTATTCTGAATATATATACAACACACAGAAATCATCTCAAAAATAGCTAATGAATTCTTCAACTGTTTTTTTCCTTTCCATTATTGTTTATGCTCTACGAATCTAAGATATCGAATAAATTTTATGTATATCTTAAATTTATATTAAAAAATTAATTAATATATAAGTAATATTTGTCGTACATGGTTTGATTTCATTTAGGCACATACAAAATAATTATTTTTAAATTTGAAATTATTGAGAATTCATAAATTTCAAATCATAAATCGATTTATATTTCTTTGAACTCCGCATATAGAGGGAACTTAATGTACCGATTGACTGTATTTTAATTATATTTTTTTTTGTCTATAATAAAAATATAATTGGATCCTTATACGTGGTATATCTTGTGCGGTTATGACAAAATTCTTTAGTGGAAGATTCCAAAAATGTGTTAAAATATCATATCAAAAATCAAAATCATTCCACTTGTCCATTACTTTGTCAAACACCGTAAGAAAATGGTGAATTACATGGAATTTTTTCTGGTGATTTCTATAAAAATTTGTAAAAAAAAAAAATTCCTACAGATTTTTCATACTAATTCCCAGAAAAATCTCCATGTAATCCACAATTTTCTTATAGTGAAAAAGGGATCAAGCTATTGAATTTTTGCACCACATGTTCACGTAGATCGAAGCGCTATGCCGAGTCAGTCAAGTTATAATATATAAACGTGTTTTTGTAATTTGTTTTTAGATGATAATTATGTCTTTTAATTTTAAGTGTGTAAAAATAAACATTTTAACTTATTTGCATGGTAATTCACGTGAAATGCACTTAACTTGATTTGTATATCAATTTATTCATCTTTATACAAACTTAAATATCAATTTATATACAGACCAAATTTTTTTTTAAAAAAAACATAAATCTCAATCGAAATCGAATAAAATTAAAAAATTCCTTTGTGGTCAACTAGTACAGCCAATATTATATAAGGACTTTGATTCTATAGATATTATTATTTATCACTGGATGGCAATCAAATGCAATTATTTGAACAATAATTTAAAAGTTCCAAATATACTTTTACGTGACTCCCATTATTACCATGAAATAATTAATTGGACTTTTCCAATTATTTAATGATGTATTTGAGATCGAAAATAATATTAGAGACTTTTATTAGCTAATAGATTTACGAAAAACATATATAAAAATATATTGCAAATGTCAAGGGTATATTCTAATCCTTTTTTTTTTAAACGTATATACATTGATAATGTGAAGTATTATTACATTATCAATATATTTAAATTTATTGTAGTAAGTAATTTACCTTATTTTTCAAACAATTTGTGATCTCATTTTTAATATATTATCATAATAATAATAAGTAGAAATGGAATCATTTTTGTTTTGATTTAAGCAAATTCCTATAATTTAATTTATAAGCCTAAGTTATAAAAGTCATTTCTAAAAAAAAGATCAATATATTTGTTGAAAATTTCAATTCAATTTAAAGGATTATGCACAAGTACCCCTCAACCTATGCTCGAAATCTCAGAGACACACTTATACTATACTAAGGTCCTATTACTCTCCCCCCCCCCCCCTCTCCCCCCCGAACTTATTTTTTTAAATAATTTTTTTGCCCCTTTTCGACCTACGTGGCACTATCTTGTGGGCCCAATGATGATTGACTTTTTTTTTCAAACTAATATCACGTAGGCTGAAAAGGGGTAGAAAACTACTTATAAAATAAGTGTGTCTATGTTTCACTAGTACATAAATATTTCATACATTACATATTTGAATTAAAATTTCATATGATTCGACAACCAAAATAGAAATGTGATTTACACTATATGTATTATTTGTAAGCTATGGCAATGTATTTAATCACATCAAATTTGAAGGAATTTGTTGTTCTATTAATCAACAATTACTTAACATCATGTATAGTCTCGTAGCTAAAATATGAAGAGAATGATATGTACACAATTTTACTCGAAAGTTTACGAAAGTCAAAAATGTTGTATGAAAGAACTTCATAAATATCCAAAAATTGAAGATACAAACCAATAAATTATATTTTATACAAAAATAAACTACAAATTTGTGAGTACCTAATTTGTGAGTACAAATAAATAAGGTAGGTCCAAAAAAATGAAAACAACCACCAATTTTAGATAATATATATATATATAAAGGGGCATTGCCCACAATAAAAATTCATTACTTTTAAAGGACTTTAAGACCAATGACAGCTCAATAGGATGTATCTACTTCTCAACACTTTCCTAACATCTCATGCATAATTAATTTTGTTAGCCATGAACCACATAATTCACATAAATTTACATGGGTCCAACCAAATCAAAATACTATATTTCTATTTGTTATAGTGTTAATATTAGTTATAGTTCTATGTCAAATGGTGGAGAAGTTATTTAGAAACTAAAATCATAAAAGATATTATGATATGAAAATATATACTTATGCTTCAAGGAATATTAGGTTTTTTGTTTTGAGGGGCATAAGTAAAAGAAACACAAAATAAGGGAATTTCTTATGGATTGGATCAAGATTTTCTGGGTCATGACTTGGAGGAAATTATGATACGAAAATATATACAAATGAATCGAGTCTCGATTTTTGGATTGGGTGTTGAGCTCCAAATCAGGGTTAGGTCCTGTCCCTAGACGAGGTTGGGATCGGGTCATCGAGTCGAGGATTTTAGTTCAAGTCCCTAATAAGGCGCTGAGGGCTAGGGTCAGATCCTATATTTGGGTCGGGGTCGATGAGGAGTTTCATGTTGAGGTTGGGATCATGAATGTCAAGGGTCAGAGTTTGGGTCTCAAGTCATGTCAAGACGAGCGTAAAGAGAGTTAGACTAAATAGAATTCATATTATCTTTCTTTCATACTATCTTTCTTCCGAATATTGATTACCGAGAATTTGAACAAACAACGTATACCATTGACAAAAAATCATCATCAATAATCAATTTCGCAACTTTAATCAATGAATTAGGTAACGAAGCAAAATCGAGTTTAAATTTGAAGGGTCTTTCTTTATCTTCAAACCAAGTCAGTCAGGCTAAGGGTCAAGTCCCTAGTCGAGGTTAGGGTTGAACTTAGGTCCCCAATCGAAGTTTGGGTCAAGATACTCTTTGGTTGATTAAGGTTTAAGGTTCAGATCTTGAGTCGAGGTCAGTCGAGTCTGAGGTCAGATCAAATCCCGAGTCAAGGTCAAGGTTAGAATTGAGATAATTATTGAAGTGTGTCTTGGATAAAGTTTGGACAAAAACTATTATTAAAACCACACAATTGAGATAAGAAGGGGAAGCCCTAATATTCTACAATATGTGAGCCAATTATTGAAATATAGGGTGGGAAAGTAGAGTTGATACCTTAAAAAATCCCAAAATTATATTAAAATATCTCTTGTGAGATAATCTTAAGAGTTGATAACTTACAAATCCCTAAATTAATTATATCCATATTTTGTCAATTCAATATTAAATTAATAGGGTGGTGTCCTTTTCTCCTTGAACTATAATAATTTCTATCTAAATTATAAACGGATTAAGGGGATCTTCACACAATTCATTATTTACTCTTTCTAATCGATATACATAGATTATACATTGATTAAAACAATCGTAATTTAAATTAATTCTACGAACCAGCTACTATTAACCATATAATACTTGAACTAAAAAACTATTTCTTCTCTTTCTCCCCTCAACCATCCGATATAAACGGAGGTTAAATATACACCATTTGTTAATAGTAAAATGAATCGAATCGATGAATATTCGTGTTATTCTTCTTCTTTCATCCCTAATTCAAAGGAAGATAGAGAAAACACTCCATAATTAACTGATCTTATGTACAAGTTAAGAGAAAAAGGAAATTATGGGAACATATAGATCAGAGGAAGATTATGATTACTTGTTCAAGGTGGTGTTAATAGGGGATTCTGGTGTTGGTAAATCGAATTTGCTATCGCGATTTACCAAAAACGAATTCAGCCAACAATCTAAGTCGACTATTGGCGTTGAATTCGCCACCCGAACCATTCATGTTGATGACAAGATTGTCAAAGCCCAGATATGGGACACTGCTGGCCAAGAAAGGTAACCCAATCCCAATTTCCTTTTGGTTTTAACATGCATTGCTAACCACATGTCTCAGATTCGAATTCTAAAAATGAAGATTAGTTATCATCATTTTGTACGACTTCTATTCACAAATTTTTTCCTACCATGGTGTCTGAACCCACTTGTGTACCTACCTCAATTAGTTAAACAATATCTACCGAGGCTTGGACAGGTCGAAGAAATCACCTAGTATTTATGTCGTCACTGAGTTTTGAATCTAAGAACACATGGTTCTCTTCATTGATCATATTGATCAATTATATAATCAGATGGATATCATCTAGGTGTTCTAAAGTTTATCAGATCATGTGAAGCAGCAACAACAACAACAGAAAGAAAAAGAGAAAATTTTCGACAAGTTTTCGTGTGCATCTTGGTTTACTTAAGATTTGAATGCAATGTTCTTTCACCTATAATGCCTGGAGGAATTGTTTCTAAATAACTTTTGGCTATAAAAACAGGTACAGGGCTATCACAAGTGCTTATTATAGAGGAGCAGTTGGTGCCTTACTTGTTTACGATATTACTCGCCATGTAACATTTGAGAATGTTGCGAGATGGCTCAAGGAGCTCAGAGATCATACAGACCAGAGCATTGTTGTCATGCTGGTCGGGAACAAGGCAGATCTCCGTCACCTGCGTGCTGTTCCCACAGACGAATCAAAGGGATTTGCAGAAAGAGAGAATACCTTCTTCATGGAAACATCAGCTCTTGAGGCGCTGAATGTTGAAAACGCCTTCACAGAAGTGTTGACTCAGATTTACAGGGTGGTTAGCAAGAAGGCTCTTGATGCAGGAGACGATCCAGCATCTTTGCCTGCAGGACAAACGATCCACATTGGAAATGACGTATCTGCTGTTAAGAAAGGCGGTTGTTGTTCCAGTTGAGCAAGGATCAACCACTCACTACTACATTTCTCAGAAATGCAGATAGATGAACTGCAGAAAAATGCAGGAATGCGAGAATTTCAGGTTTCCTGTACAAAATTGTATAGCACTCCCCACTCTAAGAAGTTGTAACTTGGCGGAAAGAAAAATTTGAAGAACTGAGGTGGGGAAATGGGGGATGGAAGTAAAATTTTGCTTAAGAACCATCTGTTTTGTCTTTTCGTAAGTGTACATTGACATTAAGAACATTTCAGCTGTGAAAATGGTAAGGTAACTTATCCGCGCTACACAGAACGTCAACAACTCAAAACTACAGCATTATTGATATGCACATCTACTGTATAGGAAATAAGTAACAATACTCTTCTTAACGATATTCAGGATACTATTGTTTTTCATGTAGAGTTGTTGTACTCATTGCAGGAGACAAACGGTCAAAGAAAAAAGGCACACTTGACTTGCTTTGACTCTCAGTGGGCACCAGCAGATATTGGTCGTGGTACACATCCTATTAAAATTTTGGTGTTTCTTTTTCCAGGAAGCAGATATACTAACTTTGCCCAGGAATTAGTTGTTAGCAATGATTGCACTTCCATCCACATAGAGCTTGCAGCAAGTGAATGAGGGTAGAGGTTGGAGGGGAGGGAGAGACTTCAGCTATTCATGAGTAACTTGTTTCATTGAGAGTCTGTGCCAATCAAAAGACATACATACTCAGAAACAAGAACTGATTTACTTTAAATGAACAACCAAACAAAACAAAGAGAAAAGAGATAGTTGCATCATCCCAATGGCAGAAGTTCATTCACTGCATTCTTGTCCCTCCAAATTAGAGGAGAACAGTAAAATAAAGACAAAAGTCAGTCAGACACACTAACAATCATGATTTTTCTTCATTATTTTCCCTGATTATTTTTTCACAAAATATATTAAACTACATAAACCAATGAGCACGTTCGAGACTTTACAATTCATAGTAAAAGCTAGCATACAATTCAAGCCTTTCAAAAGTGCTTTCCAAATTGATTTAACCAAAACACAAACACTCTTACCAAAAATACTTTTTGTAAAAGCAGTTCTGTAAATCAAATAAGTTGATTTCAGAAGCTTGGCCATGCTATATATCAGGTCGGTAAGATTATGGCAAGAGAAGGCTGCCTTTACAAGTTTAGTCAACTAAAAACATTATATTTACTCTACATTCTTTGCTTTTGGGAGCAAGGTCATTTTAATCCACCCTCTTTACATGGGAAAGAGTTACCGAGAGACCTCTTAATTCTCTATTTCATTTTCAGTTCCTTCATCTGAACTACTTGCGAATTGAAGGCAGTTGTGGAGTAGAATCCTTATTATGGTTGCAGAGACCTATTATCCAATTCGCATCATAGGAACAACACCTGGAATGGGTGATAAAGAATGCAAAGGGAAGGACAATGTAGTGTTAGAGCACAGTTTCTATGCAACTTATTATTCTAGCTACAGATTGGTTGAACACTACACATACATGTTATCTCTCTGGCAATGACTTCATAATCTCTCGCTTTCTTCTCAAAGACTCGCTGGTTCTGCTTTAACCATACGGCATAGACACATTCAGTGTATACAATTTTAAAAGCTCGAGCTCTCACTGTTCTTCCTTTGCATTCTTTATCACCCATTCCATGTGCTGTTCCCGAGTTGCGTATTGGATAATAGGTCTCTGCAACCATAATAGGATAACAAAGAATGGTGGTGTTGACTACCTAATGTGGTAACGAGATCACATCTTTTCTTTCGGAAAAGCATAAAACTTGTAATAGACAAGGAAAAGATACAGTCAAGGATGAGGTGGTCCAGACAGGACAAAAACAATTAGCACTTGGGATGCTATTTCACTAACAAGATGTCAATCAACACTTAGGGGGTCGATAGAATTAGAATATATATGCACAGTCGCTCATCTAATGATCAAAGCTAAAAGGCAGTGGCGATTGAAGTAACACAGCATAACAAGAGGCCGTTATGGCGATAAGATTCTTTGTGTGGGGAGAGTCAAGTTAAAATCCTGTCAAGAGCTTCCATGTATAATATGCTTCTTTCAATTACTAGCTGCTTGTTACTATCCAACTGAAAATAAGAGGCGTTAGGCAATGCATCCAGAATAAGATTTACACTTCTCCAGACAGGCTTCATTTATTTACAGCAAAGATCTCTCCATTACATATGCATAAAGAGATCATAGGAAGTATATTAACTCTATATGTTTATTTGTTCCTTCACATATACAAAGAGCAAAGCAGCTACATTCTGTTTTCAGCAGGATAAAATAGGTGAATAGAAATGCATAAATGGTCAGATTTTTAATATTACATTCAAACGAAGGAAATGAAACTATAAAGTAAGGTCAGGGATTGGATAAGCAACAGAGAGGCTTCAACATATGATGTCTCAAACAGACATGATAGATATAAATAAGAACTCCTGATCTTTCATACAAGCATATACAAAGATATTGCAAGACTTCAGAGGCATATTTACAATAAAGAGAATATGTGGGATTTTCAGGATTTCTGTCCTCTCGTTAATGAGATGACAAAAGGCAAGAATGGGCATTTTGGGCGTAAAAAGGAAAGAATAAAACATGAACAATCAAAAAAGATTTAATTAAATTTATCTCCAAAAAAATAAAGAAAATAAAACAAAAGAAATAAAGGAAGAAGGGTCAGCAGTTTCACTTCTGTCCACTGAGTTGAAGGACAAACAAATGAAAGAATGAAAGAAACAAAGAGGATTCAAAGCTGAACTTCTTTCTGTTTGAGGTTGATTCTTTAAAATCAACTGGTAAAGTAGCAAGCTCTAAGAGCGTGGAATGTAAATGAAGCACACTTTCTCAAACGTGTTCTAGACTGCGAAATATCCTTAGAGAGGATATTCACTTATCTTGGATGAGAGTTACAGAAGGGTGACAAAAAGGGCATTTTGGCAGTCAAAACTCAAACACAAAAGACAATTGTCACTTTTTGGATGGTAAAATTATTTTAAGCTTCCAATTTGAAATACTAAGCCACATTTACAACTTCTAATTTGTTCTCAGACAATTAAGAAACAGTCCTTTAGTGCTCCCAATCAACCTTCAATTCATTCCTTACACTTCATTTGGATGGTTGTTACACATTCCTTCATTATGTATTATATTATGTTGTTTTGTGTTGTATTATATCGCACTGTATTGTTTTAATTAATACAATGTTTGGATAGATTGTATCATTCTCCATCCTTACATGTCAGACATAATCTACAAGAAAAATAGAGTAATGACATGATCACACCAAATTGGTCATTAGACAAGAATTTAACGATACAACACAATAAATTTAAGTAACCATCATAAAAAAACATTGTCTTTAAACTCAAACAAACCCCCGAACCTACTAATTGAAATGGATGAATAGACAAACAAATCGTCAAGCATGCCTTCAACCTAAGAGAGAGGGTTGAATTATCCAAATTCTCTTATAAATGAAATAAAATTTATAAAAAGTGGATATAGAGAGTTCATCTAATCGATCCAAAGTGATTCAGGTATAGTTATTAATGTAAATGTAACTGAACATAGTACAAAAACTCAATTTTTTTAAAAAAAAGAATTACTCTGGTGCATTAGTCTTCCCATTTAACCTCCATGTTTATAAAAACTAGGCATAATACATGATCATTTATTTTAACTTGGATTCAACAGCTCACATCTATGCCATCCAATTTTTGGTGCGCATAAGTAGGCAAAGATGAAAACATACTCTATACACTCAATCAATTTGTATTATGTTACGTATGTTTCTACTTGTTCAACTTTATATGAATTCAAGTGTTTTCCAGCTGAGACTACTCAAGTTTATGTATTATGCCTAAAAATAAAACAAGATATAACAAAATCAGGGAGAAATTCAAGTTTCTAAAACGAACCTAAAAATGAAATTATCGTCATCATCAACTTCTCTTAACCTCTGGAACAGCACCAGCATCATCAGAAGACGAAGACGAAGAAGCATTTTTAGCATCCGACTCTTCGTGCTTAAAAGAGGGCAAAGGATTAGAGCCTTTGATAATCCAACCAAGGGCGTAAAATGAAAGCCCAGCTAAAATTGCAGTTCCCCAAGCGTGGGAATACCATTTGCTGTACTGCTTGATAGCGAACCTCCATTGCTCTCTCAGTGTCGCCGCGTCCGGATTCGTACGATCCGGCGGGTTTGGAAAGTGCGGAGCGCCGGATAATCCACCGTTAGATGATCCGCCGGAGGTTTTAGGTGGATTTGTTGACGGCGGTGAAGAGAAATTGTCGGTGGGTTTAGGTTTTTGATGGTCAGCCATGGTAGTGAGGAGGGTAGAAGCTTACAGAAGAGGTGATTGAATCCAAATACTATATAGTGCCTATATTTATTGATTTTGACCTTTGATTCGATTATTCAGTGGCGTATTTAGGAATTTAAGCTTGTAGGTGAAAATATAAAAAAATATGTGTTAACAGTGAGATTCGAACCTAAAAAAGTCTTTTAAGTAGCCAACTAAATCATTTATTCATTGGGTGCTCTATCTTAATTTTATACAACTACCTATCAAATTCTACATAGATATATATATTTTGTAACGAAGTTAATGCGTGCTCGAGCATCCGGTGGATATCATGTGGGTCCGCCTCTGCGATTATTTGGTAATAAATCATACACTAAAATTTTGTGTGACATATTTCATTTTCTTACGTGAAATTTTTAATTTTAAAAAATAAAATTTATATATTTATAAACTAAGTATTATAAGTCAATAATAATTGATAATTTCAAACGTTTAAAATGTCTATAAAAAATTTATAATCAAAGTTAAATTTGCTTAAATCTCGAAATTCGAAAAGTGTCACATAAAAAGTGACGAAGAGAATACTTTTTTAGTCTCATACTCCCTGTCTCTATTTAGTTGTCCGCTTTAAAAGTGTCACACATATTAAGGCACCAATTATAATAATAGGTTAGTTACAAATCTTAAGTTCAGCCTCTGTACATAATACTCATAAGACATACTGTAAAGATGCAAATTGCCACATAAGATGACATACAAAACATGTGTGTCTTCTTGTTTAATTTTTTATAAAAATTTAAGTGTTTGATTATGTATACCAACTTAGATAGCATAAATGTAAGATAAGATCAAGCTAAAAATATGCATATAATTTATTGGTTCACTTCACTTATTTTTAATAAAATCAAAATTAAATCAAATATCATCAATTTTAAAACTATGAAACCAAATAAAATTTATTTATTTAGTAAGTTTGAATTCATCTACGTATACTGATATTTAACGTTTAGATATAATTGCTTGCCAAATATTTTCTTATAAGTGACTATTAGCAGTAAAAAGGGTTTCCATGACAGAAATCACTTAGTAGTAGAAACAAGAAACAAACATCTAAAAATAGAAATAGGAAAGAACTAAAATAACATACTTAAATGAAAGATAAATGCATTTTTACGTAGTTTACATATTGACGATGCTCTCGTGTAACTTGTAAAGTTGTTATCATATGAGTACAAGGATGTTATAACGTTACCGGTTCGAGTTGTGAAAATAGTCTCGTAGACATTGTAGCTTTTGCACAAGAACATCAATGTTAAAATCCTCCAAGTCCTTTACTCAACAAGAACTCTATTGGCAAACTACTAGGAGGTTACGACGTTACAGGTTCGAGCTGTGAAAGCAGTCTCTTGCAATCAGAGTAGACACTGTAGCTTTTGCACAAGACCATCAATGTAAGAATCCTCAAGTCCTTTAATCAACAAGAACTTATGGGCAAACTACTAGGAGGTTACAACGTTACAGGTTCAAGCTGTGGACACAGTCTCTTGCAATCATAGTAGACATTGTAGCTTCTGCACAAGACCATCAATGTAAGAATCCTCAAGCCCTTTACTCAACAAGAACTCTTTCCACTTTGCGCGATTCGCCCTTATTTTACGTCCCTCTTCACTCTCATCATTCATTACCATTTTGATTGCCTTACAAACTCCATCCTTAGTGAAGGATCCATTTTCTTCATTTCTCTCAACTTCCACTCCAGCTTTCAAGTCTCCACCAAATAATCTTGAATTTATGAACTGATCACCAAAATTTGGTACTAAAACCAATTGACACTCATTAATCAGAGCCTCCGATAACGAGTTCCCGCCACAATGAGTGACAAAACATCCAACAGAAGGATGAGATAACATCAATTGTTGCTCTGCCCATCCTGAATGAACAATGCCTTTCCCCTGTGTTCTCTCTTTGAAACCTTCCGGTAATGCCTCTTCGATTGTGTCAGCTTCAATAGGCGGTTTTAAAGCAGCGAAAAACGGATAGCCAGTAAGTTCAAGTCCCAAAACAAGTTCTTGAAATTGATCTCTCTTGAGCTTACATTCACTACCAAATGCACACAAAATAACCGTCTTTTCTTGAAATTTTTCGAGCCATTTTGACCAATTCTCCTCTGTATTTGAAGTCTCCATTGGTTCAGGCAATACTGGCCCTGCTAACACAACTGGTTTCTTGAACTTGTGCTCAACAAATTCACAATAACGTCCTTCTATTTCTCGAGTCGTTTTGAATGCAATGGCATCTCCATCTTGAAAAGCCAAAAGCATACGTTGAGTGAACGATACAGAGCCAGAACCAGAATTCTTCCCCATTGAATGTAGAGCTATGATTAAACGAGCTTCATGTTTATGGAGCATGATTGATGAATCAACTGGAAAACCAGGTGGAGGTTGCATCATTTCAGCTTCTGAAGTTGGATTTTCGCCACGCATAAGATAACCAACAGATGATGGAGTAATAGAACAGTAATGCACAGACTTAACTCCGTATTTTCGAGCAACAGATGGAACCCAGTAAGCAAAATCATAGAAAATGAAATGGGGTTTGATTTCTTGAATTAAAGATTCAATCTTTGGTAATGTGAGATCCAATGCTTGACAAAGAAGATTCTGATTGAAAATAGGAACATCTGAAGTTGTTTCAGCTCCAAGTGGGAGTCCATCAACATGTGGAACTGTGACGGATTTGAAGTTTATGAGTTCGGGATAACGATTAAATTTTTCTAATTTGGAAAGTGTGTTTGTAGGATGGACAAAGAAAACTTTGTGGCCTCTATGTGCAAGTTTGTTGGATAAATGAAGAAATGATGTAAGATGACCCATGGCATACCATGGATACATAATAAAAGTTAATTTCTTGTCCTCCATTTTATCTTCTTTCACCTGAAAATCAATAATTTCGTATCAGAATTTAAGTTTTATATACTGACAATGTAAATTATTTACTCACGCATTTGAAGACTCCGAAACACTAAAAACAAAAAATGTGACTTAAATTAGAACTACTACCTAATTTTTTACTAGAAAATAACTAAAACATAATATATAAATATGACCCCTAATTTAGTGTTATCGGACAAATATGACCTTTCATTTTGAGTGTGCACAGATAGACACTTACACTTTTATAAAATTGAACAAATAAAATATTGTCTTACATGATATCCTACAGAAATTTTATGCTCGAGGTGGCGTCCTACATTTATTTGCCGTGTAGGACATCTTTGTCTGCTTATACAATTTTATACAGATTTAAATGTACACTCAAAATTGGAGGATATAATTATCTACTGAACTCAAATTAAGGATCATCTTGACGTATTATACCAATAATTAAATGATACTTTGCACTAACGCATCAATGCCATAGTTGCACAAACAAAAAGTATTAGTTATATATAGTATGTTAGTTTCATATGGTTCATTCTAATAAATCTGCACTCCACAAATGCAATAATTTGCCGGGTATGATGCGGAATCAGAATTTTTAATTTACATGTTTTTTAGCACAATTATTTTTATTTACTAGGTTCATTGATATAGATTTTTTATAACACAAATACAAAATTGAGTCAAAATTATTGAATTCAAATCAATCAAAATAGGGAAAAGATCCTAGTAGGGAGTGCTTCTGTTTAAATGAGTGTCACACGATGTAAATATACATTAATAGATATCAGACATCAAATGAGAAATTAAAAAAAAAAAGCTAAAAAGTTACCAATTTTGTGTATCATCTATCGGGGTTCTTGATTCGAATCGTATGAAAAATACTTTTCCTTTAATGAGCTTTACACTGTATGTAACATGAATCTAAATTAATCGTGTGGAGAAATATTTGATAGCTAAAATCTACAACATTTGAAAGTAGAAGGCTAAATTATTATTTTTTTAATGTTTTGGAGAAAAATACCAGAAAGGAAAATGTTAAGGATCACAAGATTCATATGCAACAAACTAGTAGAGAAAATAGGAATAGACACGTGGCTAGCTATGAGCTTATTTCTAAGTTCTTTTTTTTAATTGTATGATTTTGAAAAATAAAATATTTATTTTCCTAGAAATAAAGAATGTATCTATGATTTTAAATATAAGATATTTCCTCCGTTTCAAAAAATATAATAATCTAGTTTGATTTGAAATAGAGTTTAAGCAAAGAAAGAAGATTTTTTATTTTATGATTCTGAATTAAAGTTATGTCAAATATATCAAAAGAACTTTTTTAATTTTATGGTTCTAAATTAAAATTATGTGAAAAATTAAAGTTAAAGTGTTGCAAAAAAAAGTCATTCTTTTTTAAAAAACTAAAAAGTAAATGAAGACATTCTTCTTAAAACGGAAGAAATAATATTATAAAATCAAAGAATTCAAAAATAGAGTAGGTAGAATGAATCGATGAGGTGTAAAAACAAAATAGTAGACATATATATATATATATATATA